CTTCAGTGTCACATGATCCTTCAGAAATCATTCTAATATGCTGACGTGGTGCTCAAGAAACAGTTCTTAGAATTATCAATGATGAAAGCAGTTGTGCTGCTTAATATTTTTTGTGGAAACCATGATACTCTTTTTAGGAACAGCATTTATTTTAAAGAGAAATCTTTTGTAACAATGTAAAAGTATTTACGGTCACTTTTGATCAATTTAATGCATCCTTGCTAAATAAAAGTTTTTCTTTAAAAAAAAAAAAATACTCACTGACCACAAACTTTGGATTGGTATGTTTGTGCAATGACTATAAATATTATGTAATATAAATATTTCAATCACAGAATTAGACTACATAAAATGTTGTAGGTATGGCTTACTTAAGATAAAGCTGCTGTTTGGTAATGAGGTATTTTGCACCCTAGAGGATGAAATGGATACAAAGCAAAAAATTTAAATAATAACAAATTAACAACAAAAACAATGTACATTAGACTAAATTTTAAAGTATAATTACACATAAATTGAATAACAGTCTAAAAAACATATATTAAGAGCTATAATTAGGTAGATTTAACTAGCCTTTCCAGGAGGAATCTGTCCATCTTTGACCATCTCCACAAGGGGCTGAACTTCATCCCTCAATTCTGTAAGCTGAGAATGCAATAAATACTCAAAATTATCAATAAAACAGAATTGAGGGAATACTCTTATTGTCTTGCAATGCATAAAGCCGCATAAATGTCATTGCTGCAACCTTCAACCTTCGCTTTGAAGTCCTGAATAAGTTCCAACAACTCTGGGGATTCTTTCTTAAGCTGTTTGAGCTTTTCCTTCTGTGACATGGTCTTCAGATCCTTTACAATCCTTTCCTCTTTTTCAACCTCCTTCTCCACTTCAGCCTCTGCTGCAAACTCCTAATAGACCACAGGAAGGGTACAAGAACTTTGGGTAATGTGATGCAAACACCCAAACTACTGATACCTTTAGAAAGAAATGTAGTACCTCGAGCAGGTTTAGATCATAGTCTTCCTCACTTAGGTTGGCTGCCAATCTCTTTTGAATTTTTTTGGCCTCCTCTTCCTCTTCTTTGTCTTCTGCCTCCATGTCTTCAAGAGATTTGCCCTCTTCAAAATACACAAATCAAACATGCTAGAATATATGTTTATATTATACATACGCATAATAATATACAACTATAATAACTCATACATATGAAGGTAAAATGAAGAAAGGCTTACTTTTAGTGATATAATCAGAATCATAGAAAATCTTCTTTTTGTTTCCCCAAGCCATGTCATTTGGGAGATCTGGAAGAATGGAAATTGAAGTGTCAGAGACAATGCTTTAAACATCTATGAGCATTTTTTTAAGTGGAAAAACATACTTTTATATGCTTGAGTATCATGAGTATTGTATTGCATAAACACACACACAAACAGTGTTATATTTGGCTAATCTTTAAAGCACATTACCATCATCTTGCTTTCCTTCCAGGTCACTCTCCATGTCTGTCTCCTCTTCATTATCCTCTTCCTGCACTTCCTCCTCCTCTTCATCATCATCCGAATCAGAAAGTGTCAGGGGCATGATCTCCTCCTAGAGAGAAAAACCAAGATCACCAAGCAAAGCGGAAAAAGGTCAAACTATTACCATCAGTGAAAAGCCTCATGTTACCAGTAACAAAACAATTGTTCTGCAGTTGTTTTATTTGCTTACCGCTTTATCTTCATCCTCTTGATCGCCGTCTTCTTGAATCCCTTGAGCCAAAAGTTTCTATAGACCAAAGTCAAAGTCAGAATATTAAGTAGGAAAGTATTGTGACACTTCATGCTTAAAGAACATGGGGAAAATATAACTCACTGAGATTTTTTCATTGTGGAATTGATCTATCTTATCCTCCACATACTTTGACGATTTCTGATGAGAAAAACAAAGTTGTTTATAATCAGAAAATAATAATATAAAACATTTTTTATCCAAAACAATTACCTTATCTGGAATGACTTCGTCTTTATAAGCTTCATCATCGCTGTCATATTCTTGTTGCTTCTTTGCTCTAGGCTTTTTTACTATCCTTTGAAGTGGGGGAAAATGCAAAAAAAAAAAAAGCATTTGCCGTATTACTACAATTCAATGGTAAAATCACAGAGAACTTAATTATATATATTTGCACTGATATTTGTTGAGCAGACGTCTGCCTACATAGCTATCTCGGGTCTATTTATACACATTTGTTAGTAAATACGACGATGCAAAATACAATAAATTGGTGGGTTTAACTATGGATTTTTAAACATTTGTTTCATAAACTGATATATATCTCCTCTGCATGATCAAGGTCCTACCATTGTGATAACGAGCAGAAACCAGCAATAAATTACAACGACAACTAAACTACATACCTTCTTGCTCGGACCATGCTGTCATCG